GAAGCAGACGGACGAACCTAACCCCCCAGTAATTTAATTCCACCCAAATTACGGTGCCACGCTTGCTTTTGCCATTGTTTGCCGAAGCTCCGGCTTCCGCGAACAGCAAACACTCCGTTAAGCTCAGAGCAAGGCCGTGCCACACTACAACTCCGAATCAGGTGATCCGGGCGCGCACGGCTTTCCCTTGCTTAATTCCACCCTCGCCTCCGCCCTGTCACTCTGCTCGTCACGGCAGGGCATCTGGGGGGGGGGGGTGACGTGGGAGGGGGGGGATGTGGTGGGGGGGGGTTGAGGTGGGGGGTTGTGGGGGGGGAGCACGCCCCATGTCAAGTCCAAGGTTCAGAGGTTCCGTAACCTGGCCTCTGCTGCAATGGGAGGCGTCCCCATAACCCCCCCTCCCCCCGCGAGGCAGCGATTGCCCCCCCCTCCCCTTGTTGTTGGCGCCGGCGCGAGGGCGCGCGCACGCACGCGCGTGGCGGCCGCGCTCGATCGCCGCCAGACCCCCCCCCCCCTCCTCTATCTCCACCCTCGCCCGGCTGGGCCGCGAGCGATCGGCGTGGAGGAGACGCGGGGCCCGGCAGCCACCCGGCACGCGGCGGCGGCGGTGGCGGTGTCAAAGGGTGGTGGTGGTGGTGGGGGCATCCGAGGCGAACTTTTCCCCGCCGGCTCGTGGTCGCGGGCGGCCCCACCAACCCCCGCCCGCCCGCCCCCCACCCACCACGCGACACGCATCGTAAAAGAAAAAAACTCATTGCCTCGTTCAAATTCCAGCCAGGAGATAAAAGGCGGGGTACAATCTCTTTAGTGGTAAAGTGTTTTATTTTCGGTGCGAGCCAAGGACGGTGGTGGTGGTGGTGGTAGTGTGACGTGAATTCCCGGCGAGACAGGCCAGGTAATGCACCGTTGCTTTGTTTGTTACAAACCGGTTTACGTTAATATATTATAGATGTTTTATATCTATAATATATTATACATCTGTTGACGTGTTTCACATGACCGGCAATATAAAGAGGTTAAGGTGTCAGTGCAGACACCTTTATCAAGGCAATGGCAATAGCGTCTTTTTCTAGATAACGGCTTGTCAGCAAAGCCATTGACCTTTATCTTTTCGGTTTAGCAATCAGTCGTCTTACAAATCACACACGCGCGCGCGCGCCGGGTGTGCTGTACATGTGTGCGACAGTATTTCACGTTTTAAGCAAGTGTACAATCACTTTGTACAAAGCAATTATACCCGGCCACCACATTCGTTCATTCATTCTTTTGTATACGCGTTTAGCAGCCTTACCATTCTTTCCATGGGATTCACAAAAAAAGATCCCGGGATCCCACGGAGCAAAAGCTACGGAGAGAGAGATAAGTGCCCAGTGCCCACGTCGTTCTCTGTAATCCCACGTTTGGCAAGGGTGAAAGGTAAAAGGCCGCAGGCCTGCAAGCGCCTGGTCACGCCACTGCCTATGGAAGGTCCCTCCACTCGAGAGTATTTTGACCGACTCTGCTCGTTCATACTGGCCCGAGCATCTTAGAAGATCGCCCACTTTTTACCCCACCACACGCCACACCTGCTAATTCACTGCGACATGCCGGGTGGACGGACGTGGCGGGATGTTTCGTGTGCCTTGCCGGGGAATCGGATCTCTCTGGTGCTCTCTGGATGTCAAGTCAAGTGTGCTAACCATTACACCACGGAAGCACCCTCCACAATTGCATATAATCGTTTTTTTTTTAAAACATGGATTTGCCCCAGGTCTTAAAAAAGAGATGGGTTGTTTCAACGGCCTCCCGCCCACTCGCTTCACCCGGATTATAGCCACTATATGTATCATCGTCAGAACTGAGCGGTGATTTCCAACCACTTTGTGGTCACCACTGGCAACCTAACTGCCAACATTTTAATGTTGTCCTTGCGATTGGTTAACGAAGTAGAAAAACTGCTTTTTTTTAAACACAAACACACAACAACAAAGACAAAACTGCTTGCGAACGCTGACAGTTGTACCAAGAGCTCCGATTATGAGCATGTCCTTCACGATCTCTGCCCGACAGCTGCTGCTGCTGCGTGCGTGCGCACTGCCGAACAACAAGTGACGTCCTCTGGTCACCCAGATCCTACCGCGGCGCTCGTTTTTTGCCTTTGGGGCCGTCCATAAATGACGTCACGCACCTAGCGGGGGTGGGGGGGGGGGTCAGATATTTGTGACGATGTGTGACGAGTGGGGGGGGGGGGGGTTGAGCAATGTGACGTCACATCGAAATGCGCAACTTTAAATAAATATAGACAACACGTTCTACTTAATTTAATATACTTTTTAATAAATGTTTTCTCCTACAACATCATAGTGCAGCGCCACGTTAAATACGCACTACAATGACAATAGTTTAAAGCGATTTGAAGCATATTATATTTTTGGGGGGGGGCAGAGCTTTGTTACGTCATATTTGAGGGGGGGTCTGACTTTTTGTGACGCCGTGTGACGAGGGTGGGGGTCAAAGATCGTCCAAAATCGCGTGACGTCATTTATGGACGGCCCCTTTCGCCGCCGCGCAACGTGAGTCAACACGACACGTGCATTGCCACAACCCGTGCGTGTCCGCCCAACGAGTGGGTGAGTGGGAGAGTGAGTGAGCGAATGGGAGATTGGGTGAGCGCTATGGTGGTGAGATGTTAACTACCTTGCCTGGTATCCAGGAGGTCGTGGGTTTGATCACGATCCTGAAGTTTGCATGTTCTCCCCGTGGCCGTGGATTTTTCGACGGGTCCTCCTTATTTTCCCTCCACATTTAGACTCAACATGCGTTTAGAGTATTTGGCTGCTGCTATAAATTTTCCACGTGATAAGCCGTTGTCATTTGTGGCCAGGTTGCTTCTGATAAAGAGCGATATAGTTCAGTGGGCTTACCTGATGAAATAGAAAATAGTTTAGTTTAGAGAGAGACAGCAAATGGGAGAATGGGTGGGTGAGTGAGTGAGTGGATGGGAGAATGGGTGAGCGAATGGACGAGTGAGCGAGCGGGCGACCAAACGAGTGGGCGGACGGGCGCGTGAGCACCGTGCGGCTATCTAATTTGTAGTGGGCAGGCGTCGTCCTTTGACAAATTGTGTTGCTGGGCGCCGAGGTGAAATCAGCCGTAGATAGGACGCATCGTGAGTTACTACCGCTATCACGGATGACCCTCATCCCTATCTGCGTCAGATTTCTACTTCGGCGTAGGCGTTTCCTCTTTACCGCGACGAGGTTTGAGGTGGGAGGAGGTGGCGGTTGTTTGATGCACAGTGCAGCCTTCCTACTGCTTCACGGTCTGTCGTAGGAGGGGCCTTGTGCAGATAACACTTTCTGAACGATGATGTCAGAAGACTTTACCATTGCTTTTTATGGCCATTTAAAGGACCAGGTTACAGATTAAAGGCGCTTAGACTCTGTCGTGGTGGCTTGGAAAGGTATAAAGGTTGGCAAGCAGTATAAGTGTGAAGATTACCGAAATGGTTGAACGTTTATGGACTTCACAAGATCGCACCAATTTACAAAGTTTCATATTAATGTCGCTTTAATTTTACATAACGTCTAATTTGAAGGCCGCCCTCGCGGGTGAACATTAACGCCGCGGCACTTTGCTGCTGGCTGTGGTTTAACCGGAGTAATGTCACGGTGTCACAGAATCTGCTGACAGGCGCAGGGGTTGCCATAAACCACCTTCGCTTCTGTTTTAGTGGCCACAACGTGTTTTTTATCTTTCTTTTTGACCAGGTAAGGCTCACTGAGCTATACAGCTCTTTTTTTAGTTGGGTCCTGGCCACAAATGATAGCCCAATGAAGTGGCTTATCACGTTAAAATTTATAGCAGTTATAATACTCTGAACGCACGTTAATTCCAAACGTGGAGGGAAAAACTGGAGGACCCGGAGAAAATTCCACGTGACCACGGTGTGAGAGAGAGAGAGAGACACGCAATCTCCAAATATAGAACAGGCGTCGGGGTCGGGATCGAAACTCACGACCTCCTGCATATCAGGCGAGGTGGTTAACATCTCGCCACCACGGTGCCCCTTATCTCGAGCGCCCTCCGTACCCGAGTGGCGTGACACGCATGCCCCGGCACACTCCGTCCTGCGGTGTCATCCCCGGCGCCGTTCCCCCCCGTCGCACGCTCGCGCGCTCCGAGTTCCCCTCCGCCTGCTCACGCGCGATCGTTTTGATTCGATGCACGTGATTGCCATCGTTTATTTATTTTTCGCGCTGCACTGACAAGCTTAGAAAAGGTTCGTACGTGATCCATCATGAACAGAGGCGCTGGACAAATGCGGGATGACGGGATAATTAAGGTAGAACAGTTGGAAGAGTGGGACAAAATTCTCGCTGGAGGGGTTCTTTAGAGCCTCCTGTAGCGGAAGCCCTTCCACCAACAGGTATGTGAGCAAGAAGTGTTAGGGAATGCCCCTTTGCCGTTTTGCTTTTATTTAAGGCGAAGTTTTTATTTCTCATTCATGCCGCGGTATGATGGAGATCACTTTGTTGAGTTGCAGAGGTGGGTGGTCCGTATGCCTCTATACTGTGGTGATTGTGATTGTGTTTTTTGTTTTTGTGGTACACGCTATGCACAGGTTTACTAAAATAGAATTACGTTGTAAACATTTATGGCACGGAGTACATGCAAACAAACAAACTGCGGCTGTTTTTCATCATACGAGGGAGTGGCGACGCAAAGGTTAGCCCACTGTGATTATCAGCTCAACAACCTGAGTTTCAATTCCAGCCACGGCTACCATCGGCGGCGAATATCTGAACAGGTCCTGGGCCCCACCTCTCCCTTCATCAATCTGCACTGAGCAGCCGAGTGACTTTGGCAGTGTATTGCCAAAGTGCTGTAAATTATTACACTTTCTCACGACGACTCACGAGGTATTCTCTCCGTAACAAATTTCGAAAAGCACCGTTTAAGCGCAGAACTTGCGTGCGGCCAACTGAGAGTGTTTCCGCCGTCGTCCTCCCTGCGTGCAGTATGACAGCAGGAGACTCAGCCAGCGCGAATTCCGCCTCCAGCAGCAGGGTGTCCGCCCTTGATGACGACACCATGAACGGAAGCATGGAGTCGAACCCGAGCCACGGCGGCTCGCTGGAATCCGCGGCGGCGGCTGCGCCCCCTCCGCTCAGCCCGTCCATCCTGGCGCTGCTGTCCCGCACGGGCTTCCAGCTGTCGCACGAGAACGGTCAGCGGCGTTACGGGGGCCCCCCGCCGGGCTGGGAGGGCGCCCCTCCTCCGCGCGGCTGCCAGGTGTTCGTGGGCAAGATCCCGCGCGACTGCTACGAGGACGAGCTGGTGCCGGTGCTCGAGTCGGCCGGCCGGATCTACGAGCTGCGGCTGATGCTGGACGCGGACGCGAGGACGCGCGGCTACGCGTTCGTGACGTACGCCTCGCGGCAGGAGGCGCGCGCCGCCGTGCGCGGCCTCGACAACCACGAGGTGCGGCCGGGGCGCCTGCTCGGCGTCTGCTCCAGCGTGGACAACTGCCGGCTGTTCGTGGGCGGCATCCCCAAGACGGCGCGCAAGGAGGAGATCCTGGACGAGATGAGGCGCGCCACCGAGGGCGTCACGGACGTCATCGTGTACGCGAGCGCGGCCGACAAGACGCGAAACCGCGGCTTCGCCTTCGTCGAGTACGAGTCGCACCGCGCCGCCGCCACCGCCCGCCGAAAGCTGCTCAACGGGCCGGGCCACACGGCGCTGCAGCTGTGGGGCCAGCCGCTGGCGGTCGACTGGGCCGAGCCCGAGCCGGACGTGGACGAGGACGTGATGGAGACGGTGAAGGTGCTGTACGTGCGCAACCTCATGTTGGGCACCGGCGAGGAGACGCTGCGCGCCGTGTTTGAGGCGGTGGCGCCAGGCGCCGTTGAGCGCGTCAAGAAGATCCGCGACTACGCCTTCGTGCACTTCTCGGGCCGCGAGGAGGCCCTGCGCGCCATGAGGGCGCTCGATGGCTCGGACGTGGACGGCGCCTGCGTGGAGGTCACCCTGGCGAAGCCCGTGGATCGCGAGCAGTACTACAGCCGCTACCAGCGCACACAGCAGCAGCAGCAACAGCAGCGCGCCGGCGCGCTGGGCGTGGTGACGGCTGGCGTGGAGGCGCTGCCCGCCGGCGGGTACGTCTACTCGTACGACCCCTACAGCCTCGCGGCCTGCGGCTTCAACTACGGCGGGGCCTACAGCACCGTCGTGGGGCCCAACCGCGACTACTTCCTCAAAGGTTTGTCGCACGATGTGGGGCTTGTTTTTCTAGACAGGTGGTGATTACCTTGATTAAAGGAGGGGGGGGGGGGGATGCATAAAAAATCTCAGATTGGGGGCATGACGGTCAATTTTAAACAAACTCAAAGCAAGTGTTGTTTCCGGAACTGCCCAACAGCCGACTCGAGCTCTCAACTCGTGTGTGTATGAGGAAAGGCCACGACACCCTTGGCTCAGTTGCTCCAGAGTTGTGTCGAGGTTAACCTGGCCGTGTGCACTGTCTCATCGGAGTCAAGTGGACGCACGCATGCACGCATCGACACTTTTACGGTTATGGCCTTTCACCGAACTGGCGAACTTTGAAGAAAAACCGCCGCTGCTGTTAGACATTGTACCGACATTTTTTTTACTTGACGATAAAAGTTCAGAACGGGGGCCGAGTTTTCATGGGGGGGGGGTGGGTGGAGGGGGGGGGCTCTGTCTCCTCCAGCCCTCCTGACGCGACGGGCCGAGTCACGTGCAGGGGCAGCAGCAGGGTGGGTTCTTTTTCTTGTTAATCCGTTCTTTTTTTCTCTTCTATTTTTTAAGGAAGTTTGGAAACGCTTCCTTAAAAAGCCACTCAACCGAGATTATCCCGTCCTTCAGTTCCCCGTGGTCTCTGGGAGAACTTACCTAACATCGACTTGTGCAACTCATCACTTACCTATATCGTTCCCTCCTGATAAACAAAGCAGAACATGGCCAGTGTCGTGCAGTTGCCCCTGCCTATGGGGGCAATGCTGTGCGTGGCTTTAGTCGATTGATTCAAATCAAACTGCCAAGAGCTTACCCAAACACCACCTGCATTCTGTTCGTTTTACCACTTGAACGCAATTCACACATGAGCTGGTTGTTTGTACGCTGCAATAAATAAATAAAATATGTTCAGCCAAATTATCGTTTGCACACTGTAACGCACCATCGTCCTCATCATCACTGTAACCCCATTATCAAGTAATAATTATCATCACAACTTTGTAGTTCTTCCATCATCACCATCATTCTACAACTCCGTTTTCATCATCATCGTCACCACCACCGTAATCGCCAACGCCCTCCGTCGCGATGCCCCCGTATCGAACCTGGTACCGCTAACACGACATCCACGGGGTCACCAGCCCCCCCCCCCCAAACTCGCCCCCCGTGGAGGCTCCGCTAACGCCGCGACGCGTCCCTGTGGTTCGCGCGAGCGCAGTGCGAGAGTGGAACCGCAGCGCCGGCGCCGCGGCCGTCCCTGTACCGCGCGTCTCCCACCACGGCGGCTACAGTGCCGGGCGCAGCATCTACAGCCGCTACCACGACAGCAAGGGCAAGGCCCTGGTGGAGCGTTGCGGCGCCGCCGGCGGCCTGTATGAGCTGGTGCCGGGCATCGATATGGCGTCCCTCAACCACGGCATGACGCTCAAGCACGCGACCAGTGAGTGGCGCCCGCGCCGTCAAGTGGCGCCACCATCGTTGTCGTAATCGCGGTAGTGGTAGGAGTAGCGGTAGTAGTGGTGGTGGGTTTAGCCGGGCGGTGGTGCCGGACGCCTCTTAATCCGGCACTGTGCAGGCGACGGTTGGTGGATCACCGCGCAAACGCCGTGAAACCTCCCTTCCTTTCCCGTGGGCATCGAGGAGGTGTCATTGCCCTGGCTCGCCGGGAGAATTCGGTTCGGCAAAATGTAAACTCCATCCGTTGGGATAGTCCTTCGTGGCTTCGTCATCAGCAGGATTGTCATGATCATCAGCAGCGCTGATTTCAGCAGCTTTATCGTTATCAACATAGCTTCAGAAATATTGTCACCAGCATCACTGTTATTCACATCATTATGATGATCAACATCATCAGCATTGTCAACTGCATCACCATCACAAGTACCATCCTCCATCACCATCAACCCCTCATGTGTGTGAAGCCCACTCACGGATTTCTCCCCCGATGTTCCTTTGCGCATTTGGCCACACACGCGCGCGCCGTTTGTGGCTGAGCTCCGCACTTTATCTGAACGTCGCCGAACAGCGCATCGTCGTCCTCTTTCTCTCGTCGACGCAACGCTGTCGGTGTTGCCCGTCCGCGCTCTTGGCATCGAATCCGAGACCGCGACAGCCTGAGCTTGCATTCGTGTCCTTGAAAAGCATTACGCATTTTTTGCCCCCAAATTGATTTTACCCGGCAGAGGGGGCGTAAACAACGGTCACGTGACGACGCCGCCGGACAGGAGGACGCTGGTCCTCTTGGCGACCTTCGCGTAAGAATGCCGTCGCGGTAGCGGTTCCCGTTCATCCGATCGCTCCACGCCCCAGTCGAGCCGATCGGACCCCTCGCCGCCCTTGTCTCCCCACCGAGCAATCTCGCTCGTTTCTTCCTTTCATTCTTTCCTCCCGTGGCTTTCCCAACCACACCCCCCCCCCCCCCCCCGCTATAGGGGTACATTTTGGGTAGCGTTCCCTGCCCCCTGCTCGCGTTCCGCCCTCGCCCGCGGTTTCCGATGCCGCCGTTCCGCACGTCGTTCGGCACGGCGCCCGACGTTGCGCAGCGAACACGGCGGAGTGAAATGATTAGGAAACTCCGAGCGGGCGGCGCGAAACGTCGAACATCACGCCGATTCGTGCCGGTGCAACGCGAAAACACGCCGGAGACGGATCTGGACGGCGCAACCGCGATGACCTCCGCGGTGGCGTCCGCCGCGTTTTGCAAAAGGCGAAAGGTGACGGCCTCTGAGAGCAGGCTCAGCTGAAGCGTGAAGTAATGAATTAATGGGCGAGCACACCTCGAAGAGATGACGCTCAGGCTCAATGGCTCAAAGTGCGCGGCCCACAGCTACCTTTGGAGCCAGATGTTTGTCCGATGCTTTAGTTAATAGGTTACATATCCACCCCGTGTGTCTGTTCTTTTAGGGTCAGGTCACACCACCGGCATTCCAGTGACTGATAACGGTTTAAAGAGATTAAAAAAAACAGGGTTAAATTCGTTTTTTTTAGTTGTTGATGTTTAAAGGACTTTGTAATCTCGATCCAGAAGGCCTGCCTGTGTGGGGCAAGTGCTGGCAGGCACGCTCCGCTGTCTCTGTTGAGACAACGGCGCGGCCCGCTTGCTCCACGGAAGCCGCGGCTGAACATCGCCGAGACAACGCGTTAGGAACGGCAGAGGCTAAAAACGCAGCCTTGGTCGCAGCACTGGGGAGCACGGCGTGCACACGGCCGTGCCAGTATCGGTACGGACAGAGCAGCTTTACAAGGCTACAAATGTGTCCTTTAAAACAAACCCTGATACTATTCTTGGCAGGGGTTTTAGATCTTGATCGTACATCATCGGAGGTTGGGGGGTTTTCTTTTTCTCCCTACACATCCTTTAAAAGCTTGACCTCTACTTTATAGCGTTCTCCTTGAATTGCAATGCGGTGCCGTTGTTGAAAGTGTAAGTCGCTGTAAGCGGAGGACATTAAATGGGGGTGAGGGGAAGTTCATTAAATTAATTTATTTTTATTCTTTAGAGAAGTCCGTAGAGAGTTGAGGAAGTACTAGAAAGAAGAAAACTATTACTTGAATGTCTAAATATTTAATTATTTAATTCTAACCTTAACATTATTTTAATTATAATGTTATCTAAAGGCTCACTTGGCATAGAGTAATGCATACACTTGGCTGCACTTTAAGAGAAATCCCACAAGGATGCATTGCAAATTCCGGGTCAATCCACAGGAGACACGGCTCTTCGTTTTAATCACAATTGCTGAGTACAGGCCCAAAACGCCATGCGGCCAGCAACAAACGGCACTACTGAAGGTGTAGGAGATGAGCCTGAATACGGTGCCCCGTCTGTCGAGGGTTCTAAGATGAACAATGGCTTTCTCCTTGTGGCCATGTGACAAAAGGAACACAATTTCCAAAACAAATAGTAATAACGATTCACAAACCTTGATCAATAGACTGCTGGTTGAAGACCCAAAAATAACCACGGTGAAAAAGGTTATGGTGCGGTCCTCCAAAATGACTTGTTTATGCGACTGCTGGTGTGAAGAGTCAACGCTATAGAACGCCTCTCGACGTGTATCTTGGCCTACTCCCCCATGCTAGCTCGGGTGCAACAACGATTAAATTACCACGACGCTGCCCCCCCTGTCCTCCACCCCCCACCACCAGTGCCCACCTACACGGCCATCCAGTCTCCGTACTCCATGTTCCCGAGCATCGCCATGGCGACCAAGATGGCGGACGAGGAGAAGTCGGCGTCGCCGGAGCAGGGCGGCGGCGTCATCGGGCGACTCGACATGGGCGGCGGAAGCCAGGGGGGCATGGTGCCCGCCCTGCCACCCACGCCCCCCCTCACCTACCAGGTGCGTGCCACCGCACCGCAAACCCATCCCCCGCAGCCGCCGCTGTTGGGAGTCGCGGCGAGGCGAGCAATTGGGATCGGGCTGCGATGCTCGCCGTGCGAACCAACCGCAGCCGGCCCTCACCACCCAACGATACCGACCAACCCAGATCTTATCCCAAACTGTGATCGTAGTGGCCAACCGGGATCCTGTCACTAACTCTTACTAAACTAGCCAACCGGATTATATCCCTATGATTGTGAAAGTTGACCGGGGCCTCGCCCTAATCACAACCGTAGTAGCCAACCAGAGCCGAGCCCTAACCCTCTTCATACTAAACTAACCAGATTTTACCCCAAAGTCTAACCAGGCGAGTTATCCTGATCCTACCCTTACAGCTAACCATACTACCACCCTCCTCCCCCCCCACCTCCATCTGTGGTGCATTGTCTGGCCCCCTATTCAGTTTTTGTTCTCTTTTCAATCTTTGTGTTAATGGAAAAGCAAATTCCAAAAAGCCTCAAGGGTGTCGCAAGCAACAAGGAAGCTAGGTTAGGTTGCGTGGGTGGGGTTCGGGCCCACGTCTGATTCGCTCATGCGATCAGCGTTTCATGCTATGGTTGGCATCTGGTCGGCAAGTTCAGTTAGGGTTAAGGGTAGCACTTGGAATACTGTTTGGTGAGCTCGCGTGTTACAGTGTCTAGCAGTGCCCTTTCCCCATGTAACCATGTGTGGCCTTGTCAGTCGTGATACATGTATCACTCGCCATTGCATAAGATTGGTTGACCTGATACATACCGAGACAAAGACAAAAGGCCCCCCGTATAGCCTTTAACCGCGAGCGCCTATTAAGGCCGGCACGGCACACAAGGGGGTGGGTGGCCAGCACCATGCCCGGCCGCCTTTGTCTCCCCAATGCTGATGTTAACACACTGCACCAGGTACGCATTTAAGGCTGAGTCGACCTAGGGGAGGCCCAGGACCGGTTCAAATATTCGTTACCGATGTTGCCTGTGAGTGGGAATCGAACTCCCGTCGCTGGGTTCGTATCGCACTGCGTTAACCGCTGCGCCACCGCTCCCTAGATACACATACGTATCAATCCTGTGTGGAACACGCCATTTATTGTTATCCCCGTACTTCAAACACGTTGTTTGACACCACAAATATGTTCGGCAGTTCCCAGCCTTTATTTACAAAAAAAAGCTATTGACACGGAGACAGACAATAAAGAGCACGCACAGTTGGGTTAAAATAAAGTCTAAACTTCACCCCACGTAAACATTAGCGATTGAGCACGAGTGGTGTTAAGATCCAGCTCACGTGAGTCAGGTCTCGTGCTTCGTTAAACTTTACGCATTTTTTAATGCGCCCTGCGCCAGTTGAGCACGCACAGGTAGCAACGAGGCCAAAGACGCCACTCGCCAGTGCAATTCATGAGCGTCGTCTGCTCTCCTTGGGGTTGGATCGGTGGCCCAGCGGTTCACCCACTGCTGTCAAAACCCGACGAGCCGGGTTCCATTATCCCATCCACGGCTAACATCAGTGGCGATTGATATTTAAACCGCACCCTGGTTCATTCTTGTCCCTTTCACTTAACCTCATTGACTACCAAGCTGCAAATATAACTCCGATCTGTGTTCTCGACGTACACATTTAAAAACACGTTCGCCCACAGGCATATTGGCTCCCTAGACAGATATTATCCAGCAACATTTGTTTAAGCAAGCAAACTCTGAGCTGGTTTTAACTGTTCAGGCTTGTTAAATAAATACTTCGAGGGTTAGTTGTGGTGAGGCATGGTCAAACAACCCCCACAGGTGACACGGTTGTTTGGGGAGGCCTTCAATTGAGCAGTGGATTGACAAGAGACCCGTAAATTATTTGCATTTCTCAAGAGAGGCAACTACTCCGTTGGATCTGTCCCTGACTGCAGCCCACGAGAAGGGAATTATTTGGACAAAACACGCGGCCTCGTACACATTTGCCTCTTGGGTGTGTTTTTTGGCTTTTGTTGCATTGTTTGGTTCATCCCAATGCCAAGAAGATGTTTGCCTTCGTAAGCCCTTTTCAAATTCGGGAGTAAATGGCTTGCAGCTCATTAACTTTGCGAGTAGAGAAGAGTTGGATGAGCAGCCACGCGGTAATTTGTCCACCCCCTTCAAAAGGTTACTCATTGAAATGCAGCGTAATCACCATCACGGCAAGGTGCCTAATGTCCCATCCAAGTGCTGAGCCCAACGGAGGTCCTGAGTGGGTGGTGACCTGCAAATTGATTCCGTGAGCCTTTTGGGTGGAACCCGCATCTCGGCGGCAGCAAACCGCATTGTTTTGCCCTGTGGATCATTGGTTCGCTTCGTCGCGCACCTGGTTAGCGCTTGTTAAATTTAGGGTAAACGTTTCACAGGGTATTATAACGTATCAATTCAAAGCAATAAACATTAAAGTCAGGTGTCAATTGCGGCTCGGCTGCACGAGGAGTTCGGCCCTCGTGGCGAGCGCCTGCGCTGGGGGGCGGCCGCCCTTGTAAATTTGCCCCGAATGGGCGCGTGACCACGGGGTGCTGACACGTGCCGGGCACGCGAGCGCCGTGCCGCCGTGCGTTGATTCGGCTCTTTTATATTTGTTTTACACACCGACCAGGCGGAGGGTGGGGGGGGGGCGTGCGTTCGTGTGAAGCTGCGTTAATAATAATAAAACAACAACAACAAAAACCACACTTGCAAACTCTTCAAAGGATTCAGCGGTGGTGACTTTAGCCTTCACTTACATCGTCTTTTATGTTTGGCAGTTTTCTTTAAAATAAAAAGGAGTCACGTTTTTTTTTCCAGTGACACCCCCCCCCCCTCCTGGCCTTTCAGCTGGCAAATCAGTAAATACAATAACTATTTTGTTGTGAGTTAAGATCACTGTCCATTATTTAACCAGCCTTGGGCGTGGTGTAGCTTTGGTGTTGTGTTATGTTGAGCAAAGTGGACATGGGTAATTGGTCCTCGAAGAAAAAGAGTTTCAATAGTATATAGCATTTGTGATTTTTGGTAAATTTGGAAGCCACTGGGGCTTATGGCAGGTGAGAGTACAAATCCGGCATTGATTATAACAGCCTGGCAAGTCGATGGTCTCACCCCGATTACAAATGACTCCACACAAAAAAAACTGTTTTGGTACTTAACATATCAAAGAATGAAAGATTTTGAGTTTGATTGGCAAACTGTCTCACTGGCGGCTGCCCAGCACAGCGCGTGCAACAAAACCTCTCCTATGCACCAATGCACATTGCTAGCCGTGCGTATGTGTCACGGTGTTTGTAGGTGCCAGTCCTGAACCAGTCCGGGACCTCCCCTAGGTTGACTCAGCTTCAAATTAGTTCCTGGTGCGGTGTGTAAAATCGCCGCTGGGGAGACAAAGACGGTCGGGCGTGGTGCTGGCCACCTACCCCGTCGTGTACCGATCCGGCCTTCATAGGTGCTCGCTAAGAGCACTTACCACAGCAGTCTGTTAAGGCTATACGGAGGGTCTTTGTCCTTGTAGGTGCCAGTAGGGTCTGTCGAATACATAGATACCTCTTTTCCACTGTACAAGCGAGCCGTGCTGGGGCCATTCTGAGCCAGGCAGGCATGGCTCAGGGGGCACCAGGTTGTTTTCCACTGCCGAAGCCGAGCCGGTCTGATGACGTCGCACGCAACGAATTCGTGTTAACACGTGTAATTGACGCAGCATCGCCGTGTGTGAGTTGTGGTGATGTCGCTCGCAACTAACGCGTCATTAGCCCCGCCAGTGCCCCTGCCCGGTACCCAAGGCAGCTTCGGGCATCTTGCGAGGTCAAAGCGCATCGTGGCTTGGTTCCAGCTTGGCTTGGCAAACGGCCAGCAGAAAAGCCACCTGCACCGCGACGGCACTGCACCGGCTTGGCTTCAATTAGACGCCGACTTTGATGTTCACGTCACGTTTCCCCACAGGGACGCCCGCTGGGACCGCTCTACACCTTGACCCCCGGGGTGACCCCTGTGGCCACGGCGGCTGGCGGCTACTACGCGACGGCCACGGGCTACATGCCGATGACTGCTGGCCCGGCTGGCATGCAGAGCATGGCGGGGATGCCCAAGGGGACGATGGCGGTGCCGTATGGGGCGTACGCTGGATACCACATGGCTCAGGCCATCCCCATGCATGGACAGGAGGTGTACCAGCAGCTCTGAGCCAGCGTAGAGCAAAGTGCAATCCCTACAGCGTCAACACATCCGCCCCCAGTACAGCCAATGGGCAGATTCCAGCAGATACGCACACACGCGCACACACACGCGCACACGCACCCACGCTCTGACCATATCTCACCGGACCGTGCGCGCGCACCAACATTCGCGCCGTGTGTACGCACGGTGAACATACGAATGCGTGCACAACGGTTGCACATGAATACACGCGCAAGCATTAGGGTTTCCACCTCTTGAGCTAGAAAACACCCAAAGCATCTTCAAGGGAAGAAGAATAAGATTATCTCGAAGAGGGAATGCAGTCGCTAGAGTGGTGGTGTGCTATTGCGCATCTGATGAAAAGTCGGGACTTGTGATGTCGAGAGAAAGACTCTAATCATTTTTTCCAAAACGGCTATCTCGACGAAGAGGCAACCTGTGATAAACCAGCAGAGGTGGTAACCCTGGCACGCACGCACAAGACACACACACAGACACGAAGGCATTCCTACACTCACACATCTCAAACAGACACACGCGTGTAACGAACCGAACCACCAAGCAAGCATTTGCATATACATAATTTTTTGACACGACCATTCCAAACTTGATTTCCGCTTCCGTGGCCGAGCGGCGCCGCGGCGCGTCCGGGGGGCCCACATTCGCCGAGAACGGAAGCCGCGTCGGCCGAGCCTCACCAACCCGGCCGCGCACTCGCACAGGCGGCTTCCTCGACACCGCGCCGGAGCCGATCGGCACGGGGAGGAAAGGGGGGGCCCGCGCCGGCCCGGGGGGGCCCGCGCCGGCCCGGGGGGGGGGCGCCAACCCTCTGACGTACGCGCAGGGACTCGAGCGGCGCCACCGAGAGGAGGAAACACCGCCGCAACGTGGGCCGCCAAAAACATAATTTTTGTGCTGCAAGAACAAAACTTAATAGGGTTTTATTACTACTGTAGTCATGCAGTATTAGAGATTAAGGGAATCGGGGGTATTTGTGAAGTTGTTTTTGTTTGTTTTCCCTTGTCTCGAGTGACGAGCTTTGTCTCTCGGACGAAGAAGATTTGGGCTCCGGCTAAAGCAGTAGAAATCGGGCGAGAGACATCTCAAATTTGTCGCGACGGACTCTTGCGATCGGTGACGACCGGGAATGGCGAGCATCATTGAGGATCTTTCTCAGGGGCGACGTGAACATCAGCAGCCCCCTTTTCCCCAACCCCTTGTCTCAGGACCCCCCCTCACCACCCCCCCCCCCCCCATCTCGGTGCATCATTGCGCTTGCCGTGCCCATACAGAGAGTGGTGGGGTCTCCTGTGCATTTTAACGGTAGCCACGGCACGAGAGTGTTGTTGTTGTTGTTGTTCAAAGCAAACAATATCTCGTTGTCTGCACGTTTGTTCCGAGTCTGTGTGTGAATTTTTGTAGGAAATGTTCAAGTGCCACTGTAGTGCAGTGGGCTGCGGCGTTTATGGACGAAAGCGGAAAAAAGCAGAGTTTGATCATTTCCTCTTCTTCCAGAAATTCAGGTTCTTCCATTTATTTTATTTTGGGGGGGGGGGGGGGGGGGGGGGACGTACAAACTGCGCTTTGTCTCACTGACGACGACGACTGTACGTGGAGTCGCGGAGTTCCCGGAGGAGGAAGCCTTCAGACTCAGAAGCAGGAGGAGACTCGGCGAGCCTGTCTGTCCCCTTGGGGCGTGTAACTACTATACGGGAGAGAGAGAGAGATACAATTAATATATGTAAAGAAGGCCAAGGGGTCTAGATAATAGTGACGTAAAAATAAAACACTTTAAACTCGTGCACGTTGAAGAGAGTCGGGGGAGCCAGTGAAGGAGAGAGGGCATATTGCAGAACCATTTAAAGTGCAGCGCATCTACAGAGTAGATACTTTTGTAAACGCTTTATATATGTGTGTGTAAAAAACAAACAAACAAAAATGTACCAAACCTCCGGCGTCGTTTTATATATATAACATTTTTGTTTAAATCTCGCGAGTGTTCGCTCCCGGGGCGAGGTGTGATGCACTCGGAAGGAGAGCGACGAATTATCCATCTCCCTGTCCTCCACTCGAGCGTGCGAGCGAGTGTTGTTATTATTATTTCTCGTCGTCCTAGTCGCCGTTGTGTTTGTAACACTCTCCCCCCCATCCCTGCTTAGCTCTATATTTAATAGCATGCACTTACCTCACCAAACCCCGCGCACACCGCCCCCCATCCCCTCCCATTAGTAATGCACAGCCGAGCACAAATAACGTTAGAGTTAGCTTTTTTTTTTGCACACAATTTTATTTTAAGTTTCATTTACTTTCTGTTGGTAGCTTTTAAGGCGCTCGTGAGAATGAGTGTGTGTGTGTTTTTAACGTTTTGTTCCCCTCCGTCTTTCACCCACCAACCTTAAAATGTTTCTGTGCAACCTCCGTCATTACCACACCGGTGGCCGCCCAGTGACTTACGCTGGGAGTGTGGTGGTGGGGCTGGGAGTGTGGTGGTGGGGCTGGGAGTGTGGTGGTGGGGCCGGGAGTGTGGTGGTGGGGCTGGGAGTGTGGTTGTGGGGCTGGGAGTGTGGTGGTGGGGCTGGGATTCACTGCGCCTAGCACGCATTGTGTTAGCCACAACCGTGCCTTTACGCGCTGGGCGGGTGTCGCGTGCCCTGCGGAGTGATGTGAAGCCACAATGGGGAAAAAAGCCTCGACAGGCGATTCGCGGTGGGTGGGTGCAGTACCGGATGAAGCTAGTGCGGGGCCTGTAACATATGATGTTATAAAGGGGCCTTAAATTTTTTAAATATATAAAAACACACGTTTTTTAAAATTTGCATAGTAAAGTAATTGTTTTTTTTGCATTTGCTATACAGCCAGATAATAGGACAAATCGCTAACCTTAAACACCCAGTCGTTCATAAAAGTTGAAGGCAGTATAGTACTTTAGTAATAGAGCAAGTGCAGAATCACTGAACCGGAATTGATAGCTTGAAATAATTTAGCGCGGGGCCCTTGTAAGTGCGGGGCCCGTAGCTACTACTACATCTGTAGCTACTACTACATCTGTAGTAGTAGCTACTACTAGATATAGTAGTAGCTACTACTACAGATGTAGTAGATATAGTAGTAGCTGCTACTACAGATGTAGTAGCAGCTACTACTACAGATATAGAAGTAGCTGCTACTACAGATGTAGTAGCAGCTACTACTACAGATATAGTAGTAGCTGCTACTACAGATGTAGTAGCAGCTACTACTACAGATATAGTAGTAGCTACTACTACAGATATAGTAGTAGCTACTACAGCTGTAGCATACTTCTGCTCCTAGGATAGTCCGGTACTGGGTGGGAGTCAACGTGAGACGCGAACTGTCGCTACGTTCACCTCTCGCTACGCCCGCGAAGCTGGTGAAACGCCTTGCCAAAAGCTGTGAATGCGCGCGCGGCCGTGGGCACCTGGGCGGGAGGAGCCGCCTTGCCCGGGCTGCCTCCCGCCAATGCGCTCGGTGCAGTCGGCAAAATGAAATCCCCACGCACACAAAGGGAACAAGAAGAAGAAGAAGGCGCGCACAGGGGACCCGCGGCTACCGCTGTGGTAGAAACGGCGGCTGCGATCAGCACAACCACCGCGCTCTGCGATGGTTGTTTGTTTGTTCTATGTGCCATGTTGTTTGTTTACTGTGTGATGTTGTTTGTTTACTGTGTGATGTTGTTTGTTTACTGTGTGATGTTGTTTGTTTGTTCCATGTGCCATGTTGTTTGTTTACTGTGTGATGTTGTTTGTTCTATGTGCCATGTTGTTTGTTTACTGTGTGATCTTGTTTGTTTACTGTGTGATGTTGTTTGTTTACTGTGTGATCTTGTTTGTTTACTGTGCGATGTTGTTTGTTCCCAGTGCGATGTTGTTTGTTTACTGTGTGATGTTTGTTTACTGTGTGATGTTGTTTGTTTACTGTGTGATGTTGTTTGTTTGTTTACTGTTTGATGTTGTTTGTTTGTTCCATGTACGATGTTGTTTGTTTACTGTACCATGTTGTTTGTTTGTTTACTGTGCGATGTTTGTTTGTTTACTGTGTGATGTTGTTTGTTTGTTTACTGTGTGATGTTTGTTTACTGTGTGATGTTTGTTTACTGTGTGATGTTGTTTGTTTGTTTACTGTGCGATGTTGTTTGTTTACTGTGTGATGTTGTTTGTTTACTGTTTGATGTTGTTTGTTTGTTCCATGTACGATGTTGTTTGTTTACTGTACGATGTTGTTTGTCCCATGTACGATATTTGTTTGTTCCCTCTGCAAGGGTCTTGGGGCGGGAGACAGAAGAGAGGTGCCTTGTCGGGAGATAATAATAAACCTTGTGCCACACACACAGACAAATATTTCCCGTGTAACCTTAACAGACTGTAGGGGCAAGTACTGTTAGCGAGCACCTATGAAGGCCGGAACGGTACACGAGGGGGTTGGTGGCCAGCACCACGCCCGACCGCCTTTGTCTCCCAGTGGCGATGTTTACACACCGCACCAGGTACTCATTTGAGGCCGAGTCGACCTAGGGGGGAGGCCCAGGACCGGTTCAGATAATCGTCACTGGCGTTGGCCGTGAGCGGCAATCGAACCCGGATCGCCGGGTTCATCGCGAGGCGCGCTAACCGCTACACTCTCGCTCCCCACTATACACACACACAGAGACACACAGAGAGAGACACACAGAGACACAAACAGTGTCTGAAGGCCAGCTGTGAATGTCGCGCGTGCGACGGACGCACAACCTCCACAGCTCGGCGGGATCTGTGCCGGTGCTGTAGCGCACGCACGCACACGCGCACGCACGCACGCACACTATGTACTGTATGTATATGTGACCCACGCCAAAGCGAAGGGCTGTGCCTGCTGCGTTTGTGCTGTAACCAAAGTAAGGGACACTTGTGAGTAATCGTGCGAGCAATAATTGTCGCGATGTTGGTGGTAGAACGTTCGCTGTGAATCGGAACGGCGTGTCAGCGACTTGACTTGCCCAGTTTGCCGGGGAACTCTCTTGAGACTATATTTGCAGCAAGTCCACACTACTCGGGGTAAAGCGAGGTTTAACCCCTGGCCAGCGTAGAAGAGTAGGCCAAAAATATCCTCGGGAGGTGCTATCTAGAGATACCTCCAGTGTAGAGCCCCTTCGGTCAGCAATTGGCACCAGCGAGGAATTGCAGGGCTGCGCCTTTACCACACTCTTATTATGCTGAGAAGGCCGAGCCGTCTTTCTCGGGCTCACCCCATCAGGACACATCTTAGCACCTCCAAACCCCAGTTCCTTCCAAGGGTAAAGGAATAATTTACGCAGATCTCACCGTTCATACGTCATGTTGGACGTCTGCCCTTGTGCTCCTTCGGAAATACAAAGACGCCAAGGTTTTACGTGCGTGGAACTTCTCTTACACGTAGTTTTAAACGAGACAGCGAGAGAGAGAAAATGTGAGAAAAAAAATTAATCTACCCGTAAAAGTTGTTGTCCATCGAGGCGAGATGTTCGGGTTTTTTTTGTTTTGCGCGAGGGTAGGAAACACACAAACACACAAATGTTTTGTGGAAGTACCGCAGGGGCGGCTTGAGTGAGCAGGACAAGTTGGGAGGTATGATCGCTGTGTTTTAGGGCTCTGCTTGGGAACAAAAAGATACGCGCGTTGCCACCGCGGGCCTCGTTTGCCACAACAGATGCGATTTAACTTATGGCGTGCGTTAAAAAAAACTAAGTTTTCTCACTTTTGAATGTTTAAACTAAAAAAAAATGTAAAAAAAAACAAAAAGATTTTTAACAAAAAGAAGTCCTCTCGTTTTATCTTTCTTACATTCTGCTCATTTCTTTTTTTTTAGTAGCCTAGTACAGCGTAGAACATTACCAGACGCTAGTTTACCTTTGTTATGTTTTTGTTTCATCTTTATTTTATTTCAATAGTTTATTGATGTTCAGTTTCAGCATCGCCGTGTCGTTTGCTTTGTTTAGTGAAGTTTGCTTGTATGTACAACTTGAAAGCAGCATATCCTTATGTTCTATATTGCTTACATACCGACATCTTAATATAAAAGAAACAATTGTTTTTGAACTCTATTGTATTTTATTTCTGTTGTAATCGTTACGTGTTTCACCGTTAGGACTCCTAACTTGTAAAACATACGGTTATAAGAAGGTTACGTTAAAATGCCACATTTTTAAAGGTGTGTGTTCTCGTGTGTCCGTTTGGAATAAAGCAGTTTGCGACATCACAATGTTTATGGAATGATCGCATTGTGTGGCATTTACTTTGCGCAAGTGCATCAAAAACACACGCGCACACAAATCCTACGCACAATCCTCCAATGTGTGGTATGAGAACATGATGCAAACCATCTGAATTGCACGTCCAGTGTATTAACCATTAAAACCATGGCAGCATCCGTGAGTTAGTATTATTTAATAATCTGCGCGTGCATTCATATCGTTATCGGCTGATTATTATAATTATCACATGACCGGACCGTGGGAGGTTGGCCGCAGCGGTGGCTTGGGGGGGGAGAGGCGTTTCATCCGTCAGCGAATTGACCACGGCCGACGATGATCTCGCACTGGAGAAGATGCGGCCGAGGCAACCTCTTCGCTGGGGGCTGCACGCTCAGCAAGTATTGTCGCGAAGACCGCGGGTTTCATTAACAAAGAGCCACTCGAGTGGTAATTTGGCCCGCGTTGGAATGCGTGTCCTCCAAAGGTCTCCGTGCCCAATCACCTCGCCTGGCCCCGAGCCGAGCGCCGGGTACAGGTGCCCTTGGGCAAAAAAAACAAAGCACCTGTAGATACACGCTGCGATTAGCCTTTTGTGTTCACAAATGACCCCTATATGTATACGGTACACGTGTATTGATAAACACATGCGCAAACATAACCTCATGTAACGCGTGTGTGTGTGTGTCATCATCGTCATCATCAGCCACGGTTTATT